TTTCGTATTAAGAGGAATCCTGATGGCTCCATTGCTCGATACAAGGCTCGCATAGTTGCTAAAAATTTTCACCAAAGACCCGTAATTGATTTCAATGATACCTTTAGTCCAGCTGTAAAATCGACCACCATTCGTATCATCATTACTCTTGCTGTGATTAATGGTTGGCATTTGCGACAGTTAGATATTAATAATACCTTCTTAGAGGGAAGGCTTACTGAAAATGTCTACATGCAACAACCTCATGGTTTTATTGATTCTCAATACCCACATTATGTGTGTAAACTGAAGAAAGTAATCTATGGTATAAAACAAGCACCAAGGGCTTGGTATTATGAACTCCGTAAGTTTTTATTATCTTGCGATTTTCTTAATTCTAAGTCTGACAGTTCCTTATTTATACATGCTCATAATGGTCATCTCATTTATCTTCTAGTTTATGTGGATGGCATAATTGTTACTGGCACTACTCCCTCTCGGATTCAACACTTTATCTCCACCTTGGCTAGTAGGTTTTCTTTGAAGGACCTTGGCGCTCTCAGTTACTTTCTTGGCATTGAGGTCTTTCGCACCTCTTCCGGGTTACTTCTTTCATACGAGAAATATATTCGTGATTTACATGATAAGACCAAAATGCTTAATGCAAAGGAAGTTTCTACTCTTGCCTCTAATGAAACATTACGTCTTCATGATGGCAGTCCACCAACTGATGAAATACAATATCGACAGGTCATTAGTTCTCTCCAGTATTTATCTCTCACACGTCCCAATGTCTCCTTTGCTGTGAATAAACTATGACAGTTCATGCATTGTCCTACAACAACTCATTGGTCTGCTATCAAAAGAGTTTTGCGCTATCTCAAAGGCACCTTAACACAATATCTTTATATCAACCGATACTTTCCTCTTCGACTCCATGCCTTTGCAGATGCTAATTGGGCCGGTAACCTTGACGATCGCTCATCAACTTCAGCCTATGTTGTATTCCTAGGTTCCAATCCTATCAGCTGGAACTCTAAAAAGCAAAGGACCATTGCTCGTTTCTCAACAGAGGTCGAGTATCGCGCTATTACCTCAACAGTCGCTGAAGTAAATTAGATTTCGAATCTTCTTCATGAACTTCAAGCCTCTTTCGCTGATATTCCGACCATCTATTGCAACAATGTTGGAGCAACATATCTCTGTGCTAATCCAGTTTTTCATTCATGAATGAAACATGCCGCCATCGATTTCCATTTTGTCTATGATCAAGTTGCCAAACATCAACTATGTGTTTCTTATGTTTACACTGCTTATCAACTCGCTAATTCTCTTACAAAGCCACTTTCTCGAAAGCCAATTCACGATCATCGCGAGAAGATTGGCCTCCGCGACGGACGCACAATCTTGCGGTGGCATGATAAACCATAATATTTTACATTTACTAATATTTTTATTAGTGCCTTGATTTTAGGGTGTAACTCCTGTAACTCATTTGTAATAATTTGTAGCCTTGATTTTAGGGTGTAACTCCCGTAACTCACATGTAATTAGTTGTAATTGATCCTATAATTGATCCACATGTACTTGTGTATATTCTCATCAATAAATGAATAAAGATCATCACCTTTGTACCAGAAAATACTATCTTCTTCAGTAGGATGAAAAAACGTGGGGATATGGTTTTTTATGATGAAACAGAATCGAGTTACTATTTTAGTGCTATTAAACTCGTACTGATTTGAGAACTGTCCTTTTACTGAAAGCCTGAATTTTTCTTTGTTGATTGTATTCTATCTTAATTTGACTAAGTTCTACTATGTTTCTCATCAAAACTTTTTTGATGTCATTTAAGGTTTCACAGCCCGCGGTCATGCCATTTTGCAAATTTTCTCCAAACATTTCACATCACCAATAATTCAATATGCTGATTTGGCAATCATTCAATGTGGGCTTCAAATTCTAGATTGGAAGAAGACAAGGCCTATGGCTTTGTTGTGAGTGAAAGAAATAAATCAAATAAGCACTTAATGTGAAGAAATTGAGTTTTCAAGTGTGAAGAAAAACAACTCTCCTGATTTATGAACATTAAGAGCCACATCTTCAAGATTTGAACATTTGAATTACGTGAAGATTACGCAAATGAAAGAATTTGAGACGGAAGATACAGCTGCACTTGAGGACTTATTTACAAGCATGAAAGATATTGAGCATTTATTTGATGAGTCATCTGAATCTAAAATAGAAGGCCCCCGGATGCTTGAAGCAAACAAGTTCCATTTCCGTCCAATTTTACCAGGGGAAGAAGTAAAATCTCTCTTCCTCTCTCCCCCTATCTCAGTCATTGACACACATAATTTCTCTTATATATGCTTATATGTGCTTTTATTATTATTTTAGAGAAATAGTTAATTTTCCAAGTTTGCAGTGAAACTCAAAACCAGTTTTACTAAAATAAAAAAATTGGTGTACCGCTTTTATAGGATTCATCTTTAATGCATTGTAGAGAGACGTAAATATTTTGCTACTCAAATCATTTAGATAAGATAGAATCTTGCTCTTATTAATAAAATTGGGAGGAAAATGGAAGGCTATTTGTTTGTGTCACATAGTTATAATTATATTTTTATTATCTCTTATAATAAATATGAAAAAGTTATGCAACCAATTAGCACCGAAATGCAGTGTGCTCCCAATACAGTAAATAATCAGATCACTTTAAGTATTTTCTTCTTGTTGCCTTTTCTGGATATTTTTTTTTTCTTTTAACAAGTTGGTTAAGGAATTATCTTGTGCCAGGTGGATCAATAACCTCAGCATTATTGGAATCATGTTTCGCATGTGGGGATGGTCCAAGTGAGATTAAGGTAGGTCGATTCAACTTTATTTTTCTAGAGCATTTTGTTAGAGACTGAGGTATCAGATACTTTTGATGGTGGCATTCTGTAAATATGGCATCTTTATCATTTTTTATGGGAAAGAACATTAATGAATCATTATATAATTCTAAATTTTTAGTCTACTCCCGTTGTAAGTTCATTGTATAATTTAACTCTGTTTATATCCAATGAATGGTAAATGAGGTACAAGGTTCCCTTCAACTACCTTCAAAACGTCGGGAATTGGTGACTTGCCTATTTAGTGACTTCTAAGGCTTAAATGATTAATGAAAAAAGAAGTACTGAAAGATCGAAGAAGAAATCTATCTACTCCTCCTTAAAAGAGGACCTTCTGGATTACTATTCATTTTTGTCACGTGAGTTCTCACACTTGGTTAAGTTAACTGTTTCAAATTTGGTTTTTTTTTTTTTTAAATTATTCATCAGATATATTTTTGTTCAAGCAACCTAAACCTCTCATTTTCTTTTCATTTCACTTTCCATTTTCCTTTTGATGAGGACATCCCAGTTTCATTATTTTAGTTGGATGACATTTAATTATTTTAGTTGGACTTTTATTTCTTAGTTGGACTTGGGTTATTTTATTTTACGGACTTGTGTAATGGGCTTGGCCCTATCTTTCAGGGTTTTTTAGGTTTTCAGTATTTTCAGTATTTAAACCTATTTTTACATTACAATTGACAGTTAATGAATTGATTGAATAAACTTGGCTATAGCCCCCGTTCTTTCCCCTCTTCTTCTTCCCCCTGTCTCTGTGTTTCTCCCTCCCCTCGTCTCTTCTCGTTATTCTTATTATTGAGTTATTCACCCTGTATCAAAGTGGTATCAGAGCTAAACCTAGATTTCTTCAAAGAATGGTTACAACCATAAAGAAATTTTGTTCAATTCCTCCACAACAACACCCAGTTTGCTGCAGAACCCAGTCACTACCTTCATCTTCTCTGCGTATGTTCCTGTCAACAAACTAACCCACTACCAATATTAACACTATTAACCAAACCAAATCCACAACTCAGCGACCCAATTTCCATTCAACCGAATTCTCAGCCGCCGCCGATCGTGACCCAAGCCTCCCATCCCACTAAAACCCAATTCAAACTACCACCACAGTACCTTCACTCACTGTGACCACCGACCTTCACCTACCCAAGTCACCACGTTGTCAAACCAACGCAAAAGGCGACCCAGTGCCTTCTCTAAGTTACGTTGCTCGCAACACCCAGAAGCCCCACCCCGCGTCCGTCAATACCACCCGTAATCAGCGTCGCCACACCAACCACCGATCGTCATCCTCACAGTAGCATCGCTCATTAACACCTCCATCTTCTTCCAACAGTTGAGCCACAGGCAGAACGTTGACAGTTTTGGTGTGAGACTGGAATTTATTTTAAGTTGTGCTTTACTGGGGCATGTGCAATTGGAAATTTATTTTACTTTGGGCTCAGTTACTGTTGTTTTTATGTAACTTAGGTTGATTTTGTTAAAAAAAGGACAAAAAAAAAAAGAAAAGAGCAAAAAATAAAAAATAAAAAAAAGGACAAAAAAGAAAAAAAGAAAGAAAAGAGCAAAAAAAAAAAAAAAATAGATCGAGAATTTTGAGAATTTCCTGACATTATTTTACAGGTTTATTTTAGTTGACTCATCAGTACTGCACCTCGACGAACACGAAATTTTTTATCTTGGCATTTCAGCACTTAGTAGTTTAGAAAGTGGAGACATTCGACTTTGGGATGACTCAAGCCAACTGAACTCAGGGAGTTCCTGCTCCTATCTATTTTAGTTCACACTATTTCTTTATTTTAGAATTGCATAAGTTAATTCTTTGTGTGCTAGCCCTTTGATAATTTTGGCCTTAAATCTATTTGATTGAAATTCATGAACTAACTCCCATTGCTCTCTTGTTTACTACACATGACTAAGCCTATTATTTGTACCTTTTCTTTTTTTAATTTTATTTGCATTAGTATTATTAGCTTGCGATCAGACCATACGTAATCCCATTTTTTTAAGTTAACAAATAATAATAATAATAATAATACAATTTCAACTTGCGAATCTACTTTTAGCACTCGTTGTTTATTGATCTCTATAGTGCACCACACGTAGCTAGTGTTACTGTGTATGCAATTGCGTAGTGGTCGTGTTACTGCGTCTAGTGTTAGTACCCTTGCCATGGACCCTTCCCATATTGAAGCTATCACCCGACAGTTGGCACAATTACAGAATCAATTAACGGCTGTCCAAACTGAGGTAGCCACTAAGCGTGAGGAAAATAGAGCCCTAACCGCTAGGTTGAACACTCTTGACCCAACCCAATACACCATTGAAGCTGAAAACCCTAACCCTTCCATTAATAGATCTCATCGTCGTCCACAAGGTGATCGACACCACGCTAGACATGATCGTAGGGAGGGAAATCAAGCTCGTGGACGCGAGTGGGAATATTACCGTCATGGTACACTATCTCCCCCTCGTCACGAGGAGCGCCTCTTTCGAAATATTAAGTTAGATGCCCCTACATTTGATGGTTGTCTCGATCCTAGTGTATTCAATCAATGGGTTAGAGATATGGATCGCTTCTTTACCTGGTATGGGGTCCCGGAAGATCGGAGGGTACAATTTGCCAGTTTGAAGTTAACTGGCACTGCTGAACTCTTTTGGAAAAGTGTCGAGGACCTCCTGGAGAGGCGTCATGCTACCCCTGTTGGAAGCTGGGCTGAAATGAAGCGTCGTCCTCAAGAAAAATATTTACCTCAATCTTACAGGGATAACTTGCTGGATCAATGGAACGTACTTACACAAGGTAGTCGCCCTGTGACCGAATATGTTGCTCAGTTTGATGAGTTTCGAATGAAATGTCAGGTCATTGAGGATGAAGTCATGACTTTGAGTAGGTTTAGGCAAGGCCTAAGAGACGAACTTAGGCGTGAGGTTGTCCTTAGAGGCGTCGCCACTCTTGACCACGCCTACTCTTTCGTTCGGGATTATGAACTAGTGACTAGGACATCGTATAGAAATCGTAGTGACTCTCGCACTGCAACCTGTTCTGCATCCACTTCATCCCCTAAGTCGATTCTAGGACCTCCTCTTTCTAATACTACCCCTACATCAGATAGCAAAGGTAGAGGTTCTGAGGTTTCAAGGACGCCCTTCTGCTTGCAATGCTTCAACCATAAGGGTTTTGGTCACATTGCTTCTAAGTGTCCTAGCCAAGCCCTAGTTCTAGACGAGCGTGAAGGTATAGTCGACGAGCCACTAGAGGACCAGGTTTATGAGCCTAAGTTATAAGAGTTTGATGACTTGGAGGATAGTGAAGATACCTTCTTAGGTTGTATTCAGGCTAATCCCCTTATCCCACATACGCCTAGAGTTGGTGTCGTCCGTTGCACCCTTACCCAGCCTCGGGATGTTGATGATTGGCGCCGTCATGCCATCTTCCACACCTATATCAAGATTAATAACAAGGGCTATAAAGTAATTGTGGATAGTGGTAGCTGCATTAATGCGGTTTCGATAGCTACTGTATCCTGTCTAGGGTTGAAGCCAGTTCCTCACCCCCAACCATACAGCGCCTCTTGGGTTAATACTTCTTCTATAGCTGTTAAGGAACGTTGTTTAGTCCCTATCCAGTTCCTAGAGTATAAGGACCATATATGGTGTGACGTCATTTCAATGGATGTCGGGCACATCATCTTGGGACGACCTTGGTTATTTGACCTAGATGTAACCATATATGGCCGATCCAATTCCTGCTCCTTCGTGTTTAATGGAAAGAAAATTTACTTTAACCCACTGCCCCCAAAGCCGGCTGGCTCACTGAAATGAAGAAGAATGTAGAACGAAAGTGGTTGCATATCATTAGTACTATAGAATTTGAGTGTACACTTGTTGGTGACTCAATTGTGTTCGCCTTGGTTGTCCTGGAGGTTTCATCTAATTTCACAATCGAGAGCCCTGTGGAAGTCCAGTCGATCCTTCAGGAGTTTCGAGACGTCTTTCCAGAGGACCTACCTGATCATCTACCTCCACTAAGGGATATCCAACATGCCATAGATTTCGTCCCAGTGGCATCCCTCCCAAATTTGCCACATTATAGGATAAATCCTACCGAACACGCTGAGCTCCAAAGACAAGTGGATGACCTCCTTCACAAAGGGTTCATTCGTGAGAGTTTAAGCCCGTATGCTGTCCCCACCCTATTGACGCCCAAAAAGGATGGTTCTTGGAAAATGTATGTGGATAGTCACACTATCAATAGGATCACGTGAAGTATTGTTTTCCCATTCCCAGGCTTGATGATATGCTGGATATGATGGTTGGCGTGACAATCTTTTCGAAGATCGATCTCAAGAGTGGGTACCATCAAATTAGAATTCGCCCAGGGGATGAGTGGAAGACCGCATTTAAAACGAAAGATGATCTTTATGAATGGCTGGTCCTGCCTTTTGGGCTAAGTAATGCGCCAAGTACCTTTATGCGGGTAATGACACAAACTCTTCGACCTTTCATGGGTAAGTTTCTTGTTGTCTACTTTGATGACATCCTCATCTATAGTAAGACTTAGGAGCAACACCGTGATCACCTCACACAAGTTTGCTCTACACTTCATGCGACTAATCTGTATGCTAACGTCAAGAAGTGCTCTTTCCTCACCGATACAGTAGTTTTTCTGGGGTTCATTATATCTTCGACAGGGGTATCTGCTGACCCTACTAAGGTTCAAGCGATAATTGATTGGCCTGAGCCTAAAGCTATCCATGGCGTCAGGAGCTTTCACGGCTTAGCTACATTTTACCATCATTTTATCAAGGGGTTTAGCACTATTATGGCGCCTATCATGGAGTACTTGAAGAAAGGAGAGTTTCATTGGACACAAGAGGTGGCTAAGGCCTTTAAAGTTAGTCAAGAAGTGAATGACGGAGGCCCCTGTCATGCGTCATCCTGACTTTTTCAAAGTCTTTGAAGTTGAATGTGACGCCTCCTGGGTAGGTACAGGCGTAGTCTTAAGTCAGGATCATCACCCTATCGCCTACTTCATGAAGAAGTTAAATGAAGCCAAACAACGGTACTCAACGTATGATAAGGAACTGTATACGGTGGTCCAGTCTTTGCGCTATTGGCGCCACTATTTATTGCCCCAGGAATTTTTCCTTTATTCGGACCACGATGCCCTCCGTTACCTCAACTCCCAGAAATGATTAAGTTCTAGGCATGGACGTTGGATTGAATATTTGCAGGCCTATTCATTTGTTTTAAAGCACAAGAAGGGCGTGGGAACCAAGCAGTTGATGCGTTAAGTCATCCTGTCTCCCTTTTGTCGATCATGAGTGTCAAAGTCATTGGTTTTGAGAGGCTTAAGGAGGACTATGAGGCATGAGCCGATTTTAAGGATATCTTTCTCGATTTGCAAAATGGACAATCGAACGCCTTCGATGGCCTCCGACTTGAGAATGGTTATCTCTTTTGGGCCAATAAGTTGTGCATTCCTCGAACTTCAGTGCAAGATTTCATAGTGTGGGAGGTTCATGCGGGAGGGTTAGCTGGTCACTTTAGACGTGATAAGAGCATAGAGGAAGTTGAACGCCAATTCTATTGGCCTAGTTTAAAGAAAGATGTGGCTAAGATTGTTAGTACATGTAATACTTGTCAATTGGCCAAACAGAAGAGGCAAAACACAGGCCCGTACACTCCTTTTCCCGTCCCCAATTATCCTTGGTAAGATGTTAGTATGGATTTTGTGTTAGGACTTCCACACACCCGAAAGAAGCATGATTCTATTTTTGTGGTTGTCGATCGTTTCTCAAAGATGGCTCATTTTATCCCCTGTAGCAAGACGTCGGACGCGTCCAAGGTTGCCATGTTATTCTTTAATGAAATTGTCAAATTGTATGGGCTTCCCAAGACCATCGTGTCTGATAGGGACGTTCGTTTCACTAGCCATTTTTGGAGAACTTTGTAGCATAAGATGGGAATCAAATTGAAATTTTCTATAGCCTACCACCCTTAGACTGACGGTCAAATTGAAGTAGTTAATCGAAGTCTTGGTAACCTATTATGTTGCCTGGTTCGGGAAAACCTTCGAAATTGGGATTTGATCCTTCCTATAGCTCAAATTGCGTATAATAGCTCCATAAATCGTTCATTAGGTATGAGTCCATTTGAAGCCGTTCATGGGTACAAGCCTTGGAAACCGTTAGATCTCATCCCTATGTCCCCGCAGGCTAGAGTGTCAGTATCAGCCAAAGCATTTGCACAATATCTTCGTGACTTGCATATTGAGATCAATAAACAACTTGAAGCTAGTAATGCAAAATATAAACTCCAAGCTGATTTACACAAACGACATATTGAGTTTAACATTGGGGATTACGTTATGGTTCGCATTAGGCCAGAGCGGCGTCTACATGGACCCGCCTACAAATTGCAAGCTCGTAGTGCAGGTCCTTTTAAAATTTTAAAGCAGGTTGGTCCAAATGCATATATTGTTGACATTCCACCACACCTTGGTTACCACTCTACTTTCATTCCCTCAGATGATCCTCTGTCACCTCCTTTTGTGGACCTTGATCCTGATTCTTTGGCCCATTCTAACCCACTACCACCTCTCACAGCACACAAAGAAAAAATTGATGCTATTTTAGGTGAAGAAACTGTGTTCACTAATGATGGAGAGGTTCAGCGCTTCCTTATTCGTTGAGTTGGTCGACCAGATTCTGACTGTGCATGGATCTCCATGGAGATACTACAGCAATTTGATCCAGATTTATTGGAGTTTTATCGGAGTCAGCAGGATCTTCCTTGGCCCATATCACCTCACGTCCACCCGAGGGGAGTTGGTGAGAATACCAGGTTCAGACCGCCATTGACGCATTTCTATAGACGCTAGAAGAAGGTTACCCAACCACTTAGTTTATGGTTGGGAGATTGACGGAAGCCTATAGTGATATAGCCACTCGACAGGGTCGAGTTTTCTCTCCCACTCTGGGAGAATTGATGAGGACATCCCAGTTTCATTATTTTAGTTGGACGACATTTAATTATTTTAGTTGGACTTTTATTTCTTAATTGGACTTGGGTTATTTTATTTTATGGACTTGTGTAATGGGCTTGGCCCTATCTTTCAGGGTTTTTTAGGTTTTCAGTATTTTCAGTATTTAAACTTATTTTTACATTGCAATTGGCAGTTAATGAATTGATTGAATAAACTTGGCTATAGCCCCCAGTTCTTTCCCCTCTTCTTTTTCCCCCTGTCTCTGTGTTTCTCCCTCCCCTCTCTTCTTGTTATTCTTATTATTGAGTTATTAACCCTGCATCACCTTTCCCTCAAATAGCATCTCTCGATGAATACACCCTCTGGAGCTTTGGAGCTTCTCCAACAAATAGTGATTATGGCTCTGCTACTGGTGGTTCTTGTGTGGTGGCAGTTAGGGCTCAAGAGGTCCAAGGGGGTCGACACTAATAAAAATAAAAGAACTCAAAAAAAAAAAGAAATAGATGAAAAAAAAGTCCCACCATTTTCATTTTACTTATACCCTGTCTATTTCAACCATCAATGCTTAATTGCTTTACTATCAAATGAGGCAATTGAAATAAATATCGATCTGCAATGAGCCACTTGTTTATTTTTGATCCAATTTCTTTTTCTTTTTCTTTTTCTTTTTCTTTTTCTTTTTTTTCATTTCTCTGGTGCAATTAAGGATCATATCTGCATCCTGGTAGTATTTTTCCAAAGTTTGTTCATTAATGATTCTGTCAAGTAATTAATTACTGTTAAGATTTATTTTTGAGAACCTCAGAAATGGAATTGTGGAATTTTCGCACGTTTCCCCAAATATAGTTGATTTTTATGTGGAGTTTTTAGCGTGAACATGCTTAAAATTTGTTGTTAAATAGTGTAAAGATTATTTTTGTGAACCTTAATGATGAGATTGTGGAATTTGTTGCATAATGCGTGGCATTTATTTTACCCAGCACTTGTTAATTTGTTTACTTTAATGTTGCCAAATCTTTAGATTAGCGATGCCTTTTAAATTGTTTGTTTACTGTTTTAGTGTAATGTTGGAACTTGGAAATTCAGTTAGAAATTCTAGTTCAGTTGGTGCTTTGAAAATGCTACAAATTTGTGCTTCTTGTTTTTAATGGGCAGTAAAACTATAGGGGTTCTACTTCTCGAACTTATATGGAGCTATCCTAACTTCAAATGAGGATGATTAGATGGGAAGTGATTGATTTTTGTGATATTATGGAATTTATAGAGTGTGTCGCATTTGTAAGATTTTAATGTTATGCAATGTGGAATTCAAAACTTCCTTCAACTAGGAATCTTTCACCAGTTTTTGCTGTGAAAACAATACAAATTTTGTGCTGCTGCTTTTTACTGGACAGCAACTATTGGGGCAAACTTTTAATAAGGATGATTAAATGGAAAAGGGAAGCAAAAGTTATAAAAAGACGGTGATCAATTTGGTTGATTCAGTTATGTGTTTGATTTAGTTAAACAAAGTGAGGTTTCAGAATTTCAGCTGCTTGAATCTTTTTCTAGTGGTCTAAATTAGGTAAAGCCATTGTCAATTTTGAAAATTTCAATATCTACAAGTGTAAAAAGCATTTTGCCTAAATGTCATTTATTTTTGTTAAAATTTGAAATTTCTGAAGAAAGAAAATGAGTAGAAGCAAGAAATGATGGAGGGAGATCTAGAAAATGACGAAAATCTTGTCGATCATCTCAATTCAATGACAATGAAAATTTTTCTCTACTTGCGACAATGGCCATCCGAATGACACCCAAGATTTCCAGTTATTCAATACACAAAAGCTCCTGTATT